CTTCTCCAGGGCCCCGGGGTGGGTGACTGGGGAATGGGGCTGTGCAGGAGGGGGTCAGTCACCCACCTTCTCCGGCCTTCCTCCTGCCCTCCCCAGTCCCGGTCCTCACCCCAGAGGGTAAGGGGCTCCAGTGCCCATACCAGTCGGCGGGGCAGACTCGCAGGGCCAGGGGGCTCTGGCTCCCATCACTCCCCCCACCCATCAGTCCCAGAGCCCGGCCCCGCCCTCAGTCCTGGGTCGCGTGCCCCTCAGTCCTGGGTCGGGCAGGGGGACGGGGGCGGGGAGCCCCGTGGCCGGAAGAGGCGGCAGGCCCCCCGGCAGATGAGGAAGAACCAGTAGAGCTGGGGGGCCAGCAGCAGCGCGGCGCCCAGGTTGACGTGCGCCGGGAGCGCGCGCGGCACAGCGAGCAGGGGCAGGCCGGCGTGGCGCCCGTACTCCCAGTACAGGTAGGGGAAGAGCAGCACGCGGCAGCACAGGAAGCTGAGCAGCATCAGGGCGCCATTCACCTTGTGCAGCAGCGTATGCTGTTGCTTGTACTGCGGGCGGAGGGCAGGGGTGAGTGGGCCGCCGCCCGGCCCGGGGGTCCATGCGCTCTGCGCCCAGCCTGCTACCCGTCGCCGACTCCGCCCCTGCCCCTGCCCTTGACCCCAGCCTGCTGCCTGCCTACCCCATCCAGCCCCCAGCCTGCTGTGAATCCTTCCCCTCTTGCCTCTCTGCTACCCCAGCTGATTGGGTCCTCAGAGCATCCTGGGAAGTGCCAAGTCACTTGTCAAGGCCCCCACCCCCTTGCCATTTCTGCAGCGTCCCTTCAGACCTAGCTCCCCTCAGGTGCCTGCTCACCTGGATGAGGATCTTGCCAAGGCAGACGAAGGGGGTGCTGACCTCTGCCATGAGCAAGCAGCCAAGAAAGAAGTCCCCCTTGCCCTGGCGCCACACCTGAAGAGAGAAGGCAGGTGGGGGCCGGGTCGCATGGGGGTGGGTGGGGGAAGCTCCACCCTACTTGGGGCAGCCCTGGGTCTTCGGGGAGACACTGGTAAGTCTGAGCACTGCAGGTCAGATCTGAGACCTCACCACGGGGTGGGAAACTGAGGCACGGATTTGCAGCCTGCTGGTGGGCTGGGCTGGCGCTCAGTGGACACCCCTGGGAACAGTGTTCTCTGAGCCTGGCCTGGGCACCCCACTGCAGGACCTGGGGCCAGGGCACAGAGGGGTCCAGGGTCCAGCTTGACCTGGGCACAGAGGGGTCCAGCTTGGCCTGGGCACAGAGGGGCTGGCTTATACAGGGCACAGAGGGGCTAGCTCAGTCTGGGTACAAAGGGATCAGCTTGGCCTGTGTACGTGCCAGCTTAGCACTGGGCATAGAGGGGCCAGCTCAGCCTGGGAACAGAGGGACTGGCCTGGGTCTGGGCACAGAGGGACTGGCTGGGCCTTGGCACAGGGGCCAGTGTGGACTCACCACAGAGAGCGGGAAGCAGACGAGCACCATGGCGGCGTGGTGCAGCACCATCAGGAACTCTTTCTGCAGGTAGCTGCGTGCCATGGCCCAGGTGTTGCCCGGGAGGCCAGCCCCCGCATCGTCCCCGCCGTGCCCCTTGACTTGATGCTTGTGCCAGTGGCAGAGAAACATGGCGTAGATGTCGTAGATGAAGTAGGGCACAGCAAACTGTGTGTAGGTGGAGGAGAGCCAGTGTCTGTGGGCAGAGAGAGGGGTCGGGGTCAGGGCGCCTGCAGGGACCGGGGCTGGGGGACAACAGGACTTGGACCCCACGTGACCACGTGGAAACTCTCACCCAGGAGACCCAAAGGGCTGAGGCAAGACACTTGCCCAAGTTTGCAAGGCCGGCAAGAGGCAAGCTGGGACGCAAACCCAGAAGTGCTGGACTTCACAGTCCGTTTCCATATCCCTCCTTCCCTGGGAAGGGCCTCAGCCCACATGGAGTGAGGACATGAGCTGGGTCAAGGGCAGGGGGATAGCCCAGGTGGGGACCACAAAAGCAGAAGTGAGCGCTGGTGTCAGTGGAGGGTGTGCGGGCCACACCCCTGTCACCATGACTTCAAAATAACCCCACGAACCCTCCCTGGGGGTGCATGCATCTTAGGGGGAGGCACTGCCAGGGCAGGAGCTTCACTAAAAGGTTCATGGTCACCCAGAGTGGTATCCCATCAGATCCTCCCCTCTGAGGGACGGGCATCAGCAGGAGTGGTGGGGGACATGCTTTGGAGAGGAGGGTCTCTGGCCCTGGCCAATGGGAGAGGGGAAGAGCTGCAGGGGGGCCTGGGCTGGCCTGCCTACAGTGGGGAGGGGTGGCACCATGAATTACCAGCCCTGGGTGACACGCAGCTCCAAAAGTGAGAACAACTGGGTGAGACATTATCAGCGAGCATCCACCTGACTGCTCAGGAGGTGCAGCCCTGGGCTCAGCTCAACCACCCCGCAAGAATTCCAGAAAAGGTGAAAGGAACCAAGTCACAGAGATGTGCTTGGTGACCTCAGCAGTCTGGCTCCAGAGCCCTCCCTCTCAGCCCCAAGTTCAGGGAAGAATGGGAGTCAGAGGCAAGGGGCGGGGAGGTCCCTGCTGCTAACACTGTCCACTGGTGATGGGGGCGGGGGTGGGGGTGTCCCAGCTCCTATGGTCCTTCAGGTACAGACAAGCACCACCCAGGGCCCAGGGAGGGCAAGCCATGGGTGCCAGGACAGGATCCAGTGGATGTGCTTTTGCGTAAACAGGATGACAGAGGCATAAATGTGCAACATTGCATTTCTTTCTTCAGCCTGAGTCAGGACATTGTGTGCTTTTTCTTACCCTGGGACAAGTCCAGGGGGTGGGGGGTGGGGCTGGGGGGCCTGCTGAGAGGGGCAGGCCCAGGGGAACCTGGCCAGCTGGGCGGAGGGACAGAAGCAAAGTCAACCAGAAGTTGCCCAGAGGAGCGAAGCCCCCATCTGTGGAGGTGCTGAAGGGGAGGAACCAGAGGCCACCTGGAGTTGAGGCCAGCTAAGGGGTGAGAGTGGGGCAGAGTAGATGCAGGGGGGGAGGGCCGGGCCCCATGAAGCAGTGGAGCTGAAAGGTGTGACCAGAGGGGGCTGGAGATGAGGGAGGAGACACCAAAGGGTGAGCCTGAGTGGAAAGAGAACTGGGCCCAGCCCAGAAAGTCCCATCCAGCTGACACAAGGAACCACAGCATGACATGAAGTGTTAAGCCCCAGCCAGCCCTCCCAGCAATTAGGTGCTCAGAAGTAGGAACAGCTGTCACCCCCAGATTAACTCTGATCCTCTCCCACCCACTTGAGGATTAAAGAGGGGGGGGACAAGAGCACACCAAGGGGAAGGGGACGACAGAGTCCAAAGGTGACCTCTGGGTGAGAAGGTGTGAAGGAAAAGATGTGGGGGAGGGAGAGTGCTTGCGGGGTGGGGTGGGGGGGACGCATAGCCATTCACCATGGGCAGGGTCTGGAGAGAGCGCGCATCTGTCTCTACAGGAACCTCCGTAGATGTAGATGGATGGGTGCATCTGGTACACATCAGCCCAGTCATGCCTCACAGCAGCCCTGCCAGGCAAGGGCTATGACCTCACTCATAGGGATGAGGGAATTCGTCGGCCAGGAGGAAGTGCAAATCTGAGAAGAGGGATGCCTCTGGAGCAGGATAAGCCAGGCCATGCTGGGCCCTGGGGCTCTGGGACTGCCAGGCATGGGGGAGCAGGACCCAGGAGTGAAGGGGCCATCAGCCGAGCCTGCAGGTCACCCAGAGCTGCCCTGTCAGCACCATGGACAGTGCCCTGTCCTCCCTCCCTCCAGCTCCCTCTCTCCAGCCAGGGCTTTTTTGGCTGGCACCAGGCACTGCAGCAGCTGCTGGGTGCCAAATGTCAGCTTCTTCACCGGCCTCCCCTGCCCCCCACTGGCCTGGGTGTTCCTGTCCTCTCCCATCATCTCCCTCCGACCCAGAGCAAGGGGCTGGACACCTGGGTTCTGGGAGGAGGCCAGGGGTGAGCCCTGCATGAGGAGGGGC